CATCAACCAAATTACTTTTTTAAAACTGAGAAGTAGTTGGGCCATCAGATAAAAGACTAAAGCAGCAATATCATTTTTAGTGACCCTACACAAACACAAGTGTGAACATACGGCCAAATTTGGGGGTTGAGGTATTAAAGTCTAGAGACGTGGTTTAACTTTAGAAACTCACAGGTGGCAAGCATTTTGCTTCCTGAAATCAATACCTCAAAGATCCTTGTTTTCTTGTGATGGTAGCTACGCTGGATGCAGAAGACCAGTTGCAAGCTTTGCCTAGATGATGATCAACACTGGTATGCCAAAGCATAACCTGTGCTCTGTATCCTCAAATCACTAAGTGTCCCCAGTAAATGTCAATTCCTTTAGAATTAATTCTAAACAATGTCTCCCACCCCCCCCCCCCCCCCCCCAAAGAGCAAATACTGTATTTTAGGTTTATAACAAAGACTAAATTTTCTCCATTAACCTTATGGCTACAAAAAAAATGCAGGTAGTGATATAAGAGGCCTAATGAGATTATAATCTTTAGACGGTCTGCTATATTACAATCATTCCTAATCGTGTGACATGTTGCAGTTGAACTATGGCACACTCCCCTCTTGTAGTCCAGAGATAAAATACACTTTCTTCAGGAGAGTCTGAATCCCAGCAGCACAAGATTCACAAATCCTGTATTCCAAAGTACGCTCAAACAACTAAGAGGCTGCATGTCCAAGCAGAAAACTGCTTCGGAGTGTTGGTAACGCAGACCTATAGCATGAAAATGCAGACCTATACCTCAGTGCCTGTAAAAACATTCACATTAGAAAAACAGCACAAACTCCATCCTGTTTGGATTGTACAGACATTCATACATTCTGCATATATCACATCCTGGAATGCTAACATACAGTCAGAGTAGTTGGATGTGGGCACAAAAACTGGCAAACACCCAATACACTGAAGCGAAAAAGAAGCTCCTGGAAATTCTCGCCTGTACTGCAGCCACTCTCCTTCTAGGTTTCACTCCAGACGATGCCCTTTTCAAAGGCAGCCTGTGCCACTTTCAGATACTCACAAAGCAGTGCTATAGAGCAACAGAAGGCGCATTCCCAGAAATTATCTTCTGTTTCGCCTGCTTAGGTGGTCACAACAGCTCTCCTGCAGGATTCTGCCACAGGACAACCTTGCATGCTTGCCTATATTTTGCGTTTACAGCCAGAAGCCAAAGCGCAACATATTTTGCAAAGCAAGAGTATTGCTACATTTGCCAAATGTCTTTCCCCTAAAAATGTTTGCTGTTTTAGTTGAAGATACTTTCCACATGTCTTTCTATGCAGATGCACATTAGCTACTGTTTTAAATGTTCTTTTCAAGGGTGGAAAACTGGGTGTTTAGTAGTTCCCCCCAAAAACCTTACAATAGCTGCAAACTTCAAATTTGACACCGTAAAAAATGACAGCATCTGACTGTTCTTCTGCAGCATGACAGAGTTCAAAGAGTCGAGCACAGACAGCAGTTTTTGTTTAGCTTGCATTTTATGAGGACAAGAAGATGAAAATCACCTCTGCATAGCTACAAAAAAATGCAAATAGCAAAATAGCTTGTCTATTTGCACTATTAGAAAATAGGCCAAAACCTGAATAAATCTGAAAACTCAGCTCTCCTTGTTTCTAGATACAGTTCTTCCAGCTCAAATCACAGGTATGTCACTTGCAGATGAAGACTTGCTTCCCGCCTCTTTTCTATGGCAAATTGAGAATTTTAATCTTCAACTAATGAATGCTGCTACTAGTAAAATGCTACACAAAGTGATAACAGAAAAGCAAGAAGAATTAATGAAGCACAAACCCCAATTATTTTGAATCCTCTGTTACTGTTTATAAACACTTTATTTCCTACTACAATACAAAAATCTTTTAGTGAAGCATAGCCCTACTGTAGGTGGCTGGTGGGTTGGAAAGGTTATTCAAGCAAGATTAAGTGTACTTGGTAAAAAAATGTTGAAACATTTGCCTTTCCTCTCTACCAGATAAACAAAATTCCACATGGCAACAAAGTAAGCAATTCCCAGCTCTGTTCCTAACAAGCAAAGCAGGAGTGGTGTGACTCTCACTCTCACTTTAAGAGGACACCAATGCGTCTTCTCCCGCTTCTCAGGTTTACAGTGTCCAAAAAACCTTGTGCTGATGGAAGCCTGAAATACAATTTCTTATTTAGGGCACCAAACTGAATCTAAACACCAGGTAAGGCCTACATTGCAGTCAAAGGTACCAAAGTGAGTTTGCACACTAGATAGCTTTTAATGTAAAACAAAAACTTTTTACTTCTCCCATACTTGTTTCACGGATTTTTGCATGCCTGTTTGGCTACAAGCTCCAAGAACTGATCTGTATTAAAGGCTAATCTAAAGGAACATGTAGGATAGCACAATAAGAGCAAATCTGCACAGAGTAACAGTTGATGCTGAGGAACTGACATCCATGCTCTATTTGTGAAGGTGAAATGGGGGGCGTTGTGCCAGACAAGCTGTAGTCTGGTCGAATGGACTGAATGCATAGTAGCTGTAGGTAGAATATTTTCCAGTTTACTTTCATCCCAATTTAATCCAACTTGCAAACTTCATTTTATGGTGCAAAGCCAGGTATAGCAGGCAGGTGCAATCAGGAGCTTCACTTCAAAAGAACCTTCCCGACGCAAGCTATAATGCTAATGTAGATACAGCCGCAACTACCACAATTTTTTCAAGTGTTAAGGCTCTCCAGATGGAAAATAAAGGCTAGAAGCCAACCAGCATTTCATGTGGAAAGAGCGCTCCAGCTCATTTCATTCTGCACCAAACCATCCTCTGGATTCCCACATTTATATTTTTGTTAAATCATCATAGAGGGCCGTGTGGGGCTTGGTTCCTGACTAACAAATTCAGGAGGGAGACATGGGGCCCAGTATAGCCATGTTTAGTAGTAGGTGACAAAGGAACAAGATTAAGTACCTAAATGTTTTCACAGACAGGGGATACAAGGTAGAGAGGTGAAAGAATACAGGATACCTGCATATTCCCAGTAGGAAGTAAAAATGTGTATTCTGAACTGCTGAAAGTAGAAGCAAAGCTGTCATGGCTCTGAGACACCTTCAGGAGGAACACGGCCCCTAGTCATCCTCTGTACTTCTCAGGTTAAAAATGGGACTTTTACTTTAAGTGTCACAATTTATCTCACATCTGATCTTCTTATTAAAAATGGCCCAGGCAAATAATGTTTTAAACATTTCCCTATGTGTGGTTATTTCCAGTTGGCAGGGATGGGTAAATGATACCATGACTTGGAGGGAACTAATTTCAAACCAGGTTTAGAACAGATCTGCTAAAGTGGTTTTTGTCCATTGCAGAAAGGACCTTTTCATGTGTCGCCAATATTTTCACAATGATATTTCACCGAGCGTTCTTCTTTGGTCTGTCATAAAACTCACATGTAAGAGACATAAATGAAGCAACAAAAGGCACAAGTCTGCAAAGACTAGTTATTTAGGCAGTATTTTAAGCAAATTTCAGACTGACTAATTACTTTGGGTGCCTTACTTGAAATACTTGCAAGGGCCTCATTTTCAAAGGGCCCATAAAACAGACCCCGCTCAGGAATCACAAGTTTGGCCAGCCACACTTTGAAGAAAGCCAGTACTGAACATAACTTAATACAGTATTTGCATACACATCCACCTAAAGCAGGAGACCACAAAGAAGTCAGGAACATTTTCTTCTGAGAAGCATCAGTAAAAGGGCACAGTCACTGTGCCACTAGTCTTTCATCCAAAAGCAAGTAAGTGCATTCTGTAGAAGCACGCATACGAGTTCCTCAGGTAAAAATAAGACGACAGGCATGATGTACTATATCCAGACAGGACAATCTTTCCTTTTTGATCTGGTAATAGAATTTTAAGTAGGGGTCCCCGAAATATCTTGAGCATGTCACTACCTTCCAGAGAGCCACTTCAGCTGACAGAGTGCTGCTGACAGGTTCTCTTCATTCAGAGAGAGCTGACAGACTAACCCTAATGCCTTTAGCAAAGTGTAAGTCACATCACTGTGTCATATTACAGTGTGCACCCCAGAAATAGAAGGAATGAGAAACTCCTCATTTGTTTGTGAAATGGGGGAGGGGGAAAGTTTTTGAAAGAAGAAAGCGTATACCTATTGCCTTTTACTAAAACTGTTAAGCGAAACTGAGATGACCTCAAAAATAAAACACTTGCTCTTTGGTCTTGCTTCAGGTTGTTACCTATAGTCATCTAGTTCAGTGGTACCAAAGCATCACAAAACTATTTGTCAGGTATCTTTTTGCATTTTGGGGGGAAGAAGGAGAATAAAACAAAAAAATACCTTCTCCAACACTAACCTGACAGTGAATTTATTAAAACTTGGCAGTAGGGTATATCCTGTGTGCCCGCCCAGACAAGTTCTTTGGTTCTGCAAATTTTGCCTTCCCCTGCATGAGGACTGGTCCATAGGGTTCTTTCTAGCTATGTTTTCTAGCTACAAACATAAAACATGCCCCCTTACTGGTTAACATCTTGTACGCACTGCCTGTTTTCACTCAGTTTATAGAATATGTACATACAAAGTTACAACTGCCTCAGAGGTCTGGGGAGCTGACAAACAAGAACAGAAACTGCAGAGGCAGGAAGCCTGTTAAAAGAGCGATTACCAGCATGTGTGAAGTATATAAGGCACTTCTAACATAGCATGTTCTCCAGAAGACTCTTCGCCACTGTGATCAAATATAAGCATTGTTTTGGAGTACAGTTACACTTAAAGCCATTACTCTCTTTCTCATTATCAGAGGTGGCCCCATACCTTGATTACTGACACTTCAGAAGGACCAAGTTGGGTGGGACAGGGTGGGGCTCTCATACGTTGTTTTTCATCCAGAAACAGAGAATTTGATCTTTCAAATCATATGCGAAACCACTCTCCACTCAAAAACATGCATAAAAACACCGAGACAAAGAGTTTAAGTGATACTTACGCGGCATGATCCCTTGGCTCACCAGCTCCTCCCGTGTGCGTCGCTGCTGGAGCTTCAACTGCAGCACTGCACAACAGCAGAGAGAGGGAAGAGAAGGAAACTCATCAGTGCAAGAAACAACTGGAGAGACATTTTCAAACGCATCCTGTTTTCTTCTTTGGATGCCAAGGCGCTAGCAAGCAGCAGAACAAGAAAAGCCCCCTCCCACCCTGCTCCCCTGCACCACTGCAATTGCAGAAGTGGCCTTCAGCAGTCAGGTTTCCGTATTCTGATGCGGGCAACAGGGAGAGGAAGTTGCGCAGGGTCTTGGCAGGGTGATAAAAATCCGCAAAGCCAGGCTTGTTTCTCAATTCTTTCTAGAGCACCAACTTCTTTCTAAACCATTAATATTAAAAAACAAACAAAGAGAAACACCGTCTGACAGTCCTCCAATAAACACAGAGTGACACCCCAGCTGCTAATGACTCCTGAAAACTCTAATTACCATGTGTAGATTAAAACGATATAACAAAATTATTGGTCATTACTCTATATTACAAGGTTGATTTCCTTCCTCAACTCAGAAATTCACCTTCAGAAACATCTCATGAAATACCATGGATATATCTAGGCGCGTCTTTGTTCCAAAGCAAAAGGAATCCCTTATCACTAGAATTTTACCTATTTATTTTAAAGTTACAAAGCATATGCATTACCTGTATGAAAGGCAATTAGACTTTTTTTTCTAATGCAAATCTCTGGAATAGTAATAATTTCAACATTTAGATTATAACAGCAGTTTCCCTGTAAACTGCACAACCAAAGCAGTATGCTAGATATGGTTCTAACAAAGACAGCTTCCATACGAAAGGGACCTTATGAAACTGAAGAAAAAAATCACGCACACACATCAATTTAGGACAGCCTGAGTGAACATCAATAGATACTGAATCCTGTCTGCAATCAAGCCCAAACTCCCAAGTATACTCAACATAAAATATTATAGAATGAATGGCATGGCATCTTCTGTTTTCATTTCAATTTCTCTGTCAAGCTTATGTCTGCTGTATAGCCCACACAGAAGTCCACACAAACATAGTGGAACCACCAGACAGCAAAACTACTCTACAGTCCAACTATACAGTCTCCTTACAACCCTTATGCTTCCTTTCTTGAGGACTTTTCTTGTCCAATGCACTCATTTCATACATTATATCCAAATTTATACTGTACACTCCCTAATGTAGGGATCAAAAATTTTAAGGAGAAGATACCACTTCATCTACTTACACATATTATCACATTTTACCTGTTTCTTTCAACCTCCTAATTTGCAGTTTGCATTTGACTAAGATACAGCTTCCAATAAGGGTCCAGATCTTCATACGAAGTTAACAAGAGATCCATCTCTTCCTTGGTCGTTTGCAGAGCAGCTAATCACTCTCACTTAAATGCATACTTAAATTTTCGCTTGGATTTGTCTAGCTTCCACTTCTCTTGGCTCTTGATGTACCTTTCTTTGAAAGGTTTATGGCAGTGAGAATATATTTCCTACCTGTTGCAGGTACTTCTGTACAGTGTGCAACCAAGTTACCTCTCTTCTCTTTCTTAAGTCAAACTAGGATTTCTTAATATATGCACCCTGGGCAAGAAACTACTTCCTTTAGTATGGGGAAGGGAGAGACAGAGGGAGGGTGTACAGAGCACCATGCTAATTCTGTGTGGGATCAGCCAAGAGCCAGAGCAAGGAGGAGGGAACACAGAGGGGAAGGAACCGGCCCTTCATTTGGCTGTGAAACTGCAAACTGAAGTGGTAGTCTCAGGCTCTTCCTCCCACCCAGCATGCGATCACACTCCTACCTCTGTGGTAGCATGAGGGCTAATATAGTCTCACAGCTGGCCTGTTCACAGAGCTTTTCATTTGCTGGATTTGTTTTGAGGTGATCAAAACCCACATCGGGTGTTGAGACGTCTACACAAGAACTTGATCTAACAGCTTGCTGCAAGGGAGTCAAATCTCTCACTCCTTACATCTCCTGTTCCCCTGACTGGTGGCTGGACCCGCTGACACGACAAAGACCACAGCCCAGCCGAAACAGGGAACAGTTTTCTGTCCTGTTAGTGAGTTGAAGAAAATGACTGTATAGCCAGGTATTTGCCAACACTGACATAAGGTGGGGGTGAGACTTCATCCTTCCAGCAGCAGTATGCCACTAAGCGATTTCAGCCCTATTAGATAACGGCACATTAAATCTCGCACAATGTGGCATCATTTCCACTAGTGAGCCGTTTCAGGGACTCATTTGCATACCCGACATTAGCACATCTCACTAAATGTATACAGGCAAGGCACAGACCTATAGCATCAGGTCTATCCCCACAGCTTCAAGTGCAGATCATCTCATTATTACGTCTTCTCATTTACACAGCTAGCAATGTACATGAGCTCTTTTTGCCGCCTTACTGTTTACTTGCTAGCACCATCTACTTTCCCTCCCATTTCCAACTCCACCTACTATTTACCTTTCACCTCCCAGAGTTAGGGATTTTCAGCAAAAAGCTCCCCCACGCAGGTGTGGCTGGCATTTTTTGCTCCTTGGTGCATAACTCTGCCCTCACCTGTATTTATGCACATTTTGCCCGACTGTCTCAGTTTGCCTAAATGATCTAAACGATTTTTTTAATGTCATTATTTATGCCTCCACTAATATTTGTTCCGTCCACACCATTACAATCTTGCATTTGTTTCCAGACCGCACTGGGCTGATCCCAACTGGAAACGCTTTTCTGCTTGCTTTGATTACAGTTAGTTCTTAATCCACTTAAGCAGTACTTCATTAAATTGAAAGATACTTTTTAAAACCAAAATATACAACACTACTAAGTTAAAGACCTTAAAAAAGTCGATTGCGCTCAGACAAAACCCCTAGCAACCAAATTCCATGTATCCAAACAACAAAATCGCATTTCAACAGACCTGTTTTCACAAATTGAAAAGCTGAATAGCATGATTATAGTGCTATTCTTATACCATCTAAATTCTTTATCAAATTTTCCATAGTTGGTTTTTTTTTTTTTTTTTTTCCTGGAACTGATACCAGATTAGCCACTCTTTACTCATTCACCCTTTTTCAGTAGTGATGCAAAATGTTACTGGTCTTTAGCTCTTCTGAAGCTTCCCTGCTGTTCCCAGATTTATTAGAAATCAGTCTGAGCCAGACAGCTAGAGACTTCATCAAATGACTTAAAATTCCCTTCCTGACTTCAGCTTCCCGTATGAATTTTTCTAAATATATCTTATTTCTATACTAGTTACCATCTACCGCCCTTTTTCTCTACTCATTATATGCACCTTTTATTTTTAAACCATATGTCCCTTCACAGCGAGAAACTAGCAACTGTCAAGAGCACTAGACTGGAGAATAGGAAAAAGATCACTTTCAGGATACTGTTAATAGGCATTAAGTAATTCCTGGGATTTCTGAATGTACATACATACATATTAAGCACAAGTTATTATCAGCACATAATGCACTTTTTTTTTCCAATACAGCTTATTTTTGTGGCAGGGAAGAGGGCAAAAAGGATTACTTCAGTTCACTCCTGAATTCATTTTGGCTTAAAAAGAACTCGGAGTTCCCAACATCATTTCATATATTTAGGAGATCACCTGTTTACGTGTGCAAGTGTGTGAATCCTATATATAGATTAACAGATGTCCCAAGAGCCAATCCAAGGCTGTTGTACATGGAGCTCAGCCAAAGGTCTACAACGACCAGAGAAATTCAAAGTTACTCAAAGACAGACTGGAGTGTAAAGTCTTTCAATCACAAACCAACAATCTTCTGTTTACCTTACCCCTCTACTTAACCTTTAAATTAATTTTCAAATTAGGAATGTATCAGGTCATACAAAGGAGAGAGATCTCTGCTGGCTAGAGAATAAGTACCATGCTGGTACCCTTCTACCCACCTCTTTCATGCAACTTGTGTCACAGTCTGTGCAACGTTTTGCGGGCTTTGTATGCTTGTCTGGTTTTCCCACTCAAAAATGGGCATAATTTATTTATTTCACAAGTATGAAAAAATCTGAAATATAGTAACAGTTTGAAGAACGTTTTTCTATCGCTAATAAACTGTTCCCAGAATTAGTAAAACATTCCAGGGAAATCTGGGAGCTGGTTTAGAGGCCTGCTACTGGCAGTTTAAGAGGAGGGGTAGAGAAGATTTGAAGGGGGTGTATGTACTAAGAGACAAATAACATCGCAATACATCTACTATCAACAGAGTTACACTGTTAGTGAAATACAGCAAGTCACAATTATTTTTTGTTTGTCTTGCCACAGAACTGCCCTAACAGGAAACCCACAGGCATATTCCAAGACTGGAGCTTACTCCTGCCTACTCATGGCTGGTGGCAGCTCAGAGCAGTATGTGCTTAATATACAGAGGCTGCACCCATATGGACACTTTCAGGACACTCTAGTCGTAGTACAGGGATGCATTAGTAGTAAGCAGTAGCAAGAACAAATATTTGCCATGAGCTAAGGTGGTTTTTGCAGCTTGTCCTCTAAATCCGCAACAGCGTGCCTGCCCTTACACATAGATACTTGAAAGCCCTTCTATTTCTAAACCAAACATCGTGTTTGATAGTTTGGCTAGAAGTACTACAGAAACTAGACTGCAGCCTCTGCATCTCAGCATCTCAAGAGAAAAAAAAAAAAAAATCTCATCTTCGAGAATATGTCACCTACCAGGACAGGTTTACAACAAAAAATTAAAAAAATATTCTGCATTTCCTGTTTTTTGAGAACTGGTGAAGAGAAGCACACGGCTCTGAACAGCAGCTTGTGGTAAGGCCCTGTGCATGTTATGTTGAACACTGACTTACTGCCAGAGGGACTCTGCACTCACATTCCTACAGAACCTTTACTTCTAAGGAATACCAAGTGATACTCAAGGTAGCTCAACCAAGGTAATGATGAAGCGCAGCCATATGGTGGATTACAGCAGACAGCACGAGCAGTTGCATGAAAGGGAGGAAGGCTGCTATAGCCAAACGAAACCCTATAGAGGGGCTGAGGGAAG